GGCAACGTACTTGAAATCGCTCGTCACATCTTTACCCTTTACGACTTCTATGACTGTGACTACAACGAAAGGTGTGTAGAGGAGAATCGACACAACCACAATCACGGACATCATGAACACTCGCTTGTATTCGTCGAGTTGTTGTTGTTGTTGTTGTTGTTGTTGTTGTTGTTGATCGTCGGGCTGTTGGACTGATTCTTGCTGCAGGGCGATGGCTCTGCTCTGACGGTAGGCAGTTAGTTGGACTTTGAGCGTGCAGTACAAAATGACCAGTGCACAGATGCTTATGACTACCCCTTGAACAGGATGACATAGTTTGTGGTCATGAAGGCGCTGGCAGTCAAATTATAAGTAATGATTCCTATCCATGAGATTATGGTTACTTGCAGGACTTTTTCTCTTGTGATGTTGTTGAGGTAGTAATTTGGGTGTTCTATGGCTAAATACCTCTCGGCACTTGCTATAGTGTAGGTCACCATCGTCATGCCAGTGCAGACCAGTGACAGCAGGACACATATAGTGAATTGGCAAGGTGAATAGCAATGGTTCAGAAGGCAAGCAAGGAAGGCACAGTACATCGGTTCGACCAGGAATCCCACCAGCAAGTCTGTCACTGCTAAGAAGGCAAGCAAGACGTTGAAGGGGACTGATCTCAGGTTTTCGTCACCAAACACAGCTAATATGATGAGAGCGTTGAGGACAGCAGTCGGCAGGGAGGCAATGCCATTGACAGTAGCGAGAACGGTCCAAGTCGGATGAACTGAATGTGGACGGTTCATGTTGTAAGGATCAAATAACTTCACCGACATGAAGCAGACTGCATGGCTGCTACTACTAGCATCGACCAAACTAGTAGAGTTGTTCGCCATGTAGCTTTAATATCAATTTCTACATGCTTTGCTCGATAAAACTGAACAAATTTGGATGATTTATAAAAAACATTCTTCTTTTATTCTAAGATGGACTGACGCATTTGCTTATTTTATGCGTCGTTCTTTTTTCTTTTCTTTTTTCTCTCTGACAGAATTTGGAGCTTAACTATTTTGAGATCATCAGATAAATAAGATAAACAAGCTGAATTTAATTTGTTGGTTTTCATTTTTTACACTACTGTAAACTATAGAAGGATTAAGTGTGGGATGGTAATCAAATCAAACTTGTTTTCGCTTTAAAAAACGTCACGAAAAGGTTGATGTGCAATTAAGAAGCAAAACTGAAGCAGATGGTTTTTTTTTTCATTTTTTCTGGGAAAGATTTTTTAGCAATGTTATAGCATGGAAATCAAGATTGACAGCTGGAATATTATTTTGTACATATAGGAATAGTTAACTATTTTGTAGCAATATAGAATTTTACTGGGCAAGTCAGTATGGAGATTCTGACATGATCGAGCAAAAAATTAACAAACAAAACAAACAAACAAAAGAAATAATAACAAAAAAGGTTTTTGCTTGATACCGTAGATTTTAATATTCACATTAAAAATTTAAAATTCGTTTTTACTAGTTTCAAAGGTTTCTCTATACTTTTATAATACGTAGAAATCAAGTCAATCGCACATTCAAATTCCTCGACAAAAATGCACATAAAAAATAAATCGAAAACATTGAACTATTTACATGTAATTCTTCGTTTTTAATATTGGAGGAACTCTCAAAAAAGGATTAGTATCTATTGTTCATTCCTCCAACATGGCCGTCTGTCTTTTATCTTTTGAATCTTTTGGGAATGGTTAAAAACGATTGATTGATTGTAACCAGGTTACGTTTGCTCCGAGTTTTTGTAACGTAAATAATTATAATGTAGTTTGAAATATTCCATGAAGTATTCCGTGTCGATGATTTTATACAGAAGTGTTTATCGTTTTAACTACACAACCTTTTCTTGTTTTACTGCATGTTAATTTGGTCTATTTTCCCGGGGGGGGGGGACTCCCTAATATCAAAGGGCGGGGGTCCTCGGCGTCCCTTTTAGGGTTTGAAATCAGTATTTTGGTCCYGYTWRGGGTGATCATGACAAGAATTCCTACCAACTGTGTTTT